ATAAGTGCAATCGACCGACACATGTCCTTGCGGCTTCCTCATAAGAATGTTGCATGCTGGCAGTCTGCTCGCAGCCGAATGAATTTACCTGTTACTGACTAGCTTTCCTCAAGTCTTCAGCGTCGCAACCTAATCCTGAAGCATCGAATCCTGAAGACCTCAAGCTTTCAGCATTTCAGCCTGAAAACTTCGAACAAATCCTGGTAGTTATGCCCTAATAACAGCCAAATCCGATGCTGATGCCCTGAATAAAGCAACGCCAGACCTCCGAAGCCCCCGGCGCAAATCCTAACGCCAAACCTCCGAACCCTCCGCCCAAACCCCCCAATCCCTGAAGTCTAAACCTTAAACCCAACCCTAAACCCTAAAGCTCAGTTTAAACCCTAAACTCTAAACCCTGAACCCTAAACCCTAAACCCCCAAACAAAAACCCAAGCCCCAAAGTCCGAAGCTGCCCCTCCCCAGGGTTTCAGCACCGGCCTGGCTGCCACCGTGCCGTCGCTCTGTGTCTCTGCTTTCGCCCAGGCCATGAGGGTTTAGGGGTTTAGGGTTTAGGGTTTAGGGAAAAGGGACAGAACTACCAAATGACATGGGGTTCAGGACTGAGGTTCTAGGGTGTTAAATAAGGCCTTTGTTGAAGGAATGGTAGATGATATAGAGGCCTTTGGAGGGACAGAAGGACCATAAGAACATGAACTGTCGAAGCCTTACCCCGTCAGCGACCGGAAACCGCAAACGAAAGCCTAAATGCCTTAAACATGGATACCCAACCTCATACTTCGAACAAGAGACCTTACCAAACTGCACGCCCTAAGCCATAAACTTCAATCCCTAAACCCCGAACCCTAAGTTGCAAAGAATCCTTCGAACTTTTAGAGAGCCCCTCAAGCAGACAGTGAACCTGAACCCTAAACCCCAAAGCCCCAAACCCAAACTTTTTCAAAGCTCCAAAGCGCCGAGCGGGCAGGCAGTGAACCCTAAGTCGCAAAGAACCCTTAAAGAGCCCTGAAAGCAGGCAGTGAACATAAACCCTAAACCCTTGGGCACCATGAACCCTATAGTAACCCTTACAGGAACCCTTACGGGAACCCTTGTGGTAACCCTTATAGACCCCTTTAAATGAACCCTGGAGCTGGCAGGCAGTGAACCTAAACCCTAAACCCCTACTTCGAGGGTCGGGGGACTTAGTAAGTAGGTAGTAAGTAGACTTATAAGTATCCTAAAAGGGACCCTAATTGGGGTTATGGTACTTATAAGTCCCTAAAATAGCTACTTACTAAGTCCCCCGACCCTCCAAGTAAACTCTCAACCCTAAGAACCTTTAGAACCCGGGAAGACCCTTAAGGCAGTGATCCTAAATCCCGAAACCCTAAACCCTAAACCCCTGAAAGGGAGCAGCCCCCTGGAAAAAAGGAGCTTAAAACAAACAAAAAACCCTGAAAGCAGGCAGTGAACCAGCCCTTTGTCCGGTCTTCCATCATGCTGCAGAATCCGGGCGAGGCTTCTGGGGCCCGAGAGGGTGCAGGGTTTGGTGGTTTAGGGTTTAGGGTTTTAGGGTTTGGGGTTTGGGGTTTTAGGGTTCTAGGGGTCTAGGGTTTAGGGTATCCGGTTTAGGGGTTTATAGTGAACCCCAGAAAGTTGGAACATGGATTTAGGACGATTAGTGCTAGGATTCCCTCTACTTTACCTTACGGGAATGAGGATAACGATGTTCCAAGTTTCTGGCTTCTACTGTAGGGTTTTATGGTTTGGGGTTTTAGGGTTTTAGGGGTCTAGGGTTTAGGGTATCCGGTTTAGGGGTTTAGGGGTTTAGGGGTCAGGGGTTTGGGGGCTCAGGGGTTTCGGGGTTAGGGGTTTAGGGGCTTTGGGGTTAGGGGTTTAGGGTCTAGGGTTTGAGGGTTTAGGGTTTAGGGCGTTAGTGGTTTGGGTGTTGCAGTCGAGGAGTTGCTACATGGCCTTCCTGTTGTCTCGGGCGTTGTCGAACCTGCCGCAATTGAAAGCTTACTCCCTAAACCCTAAACCCTAAACCTCGGAAACTGGCGAAATAGCGATAAACGACCTGGGCAAGTTCGCTTCAAGCACGTTCTGATCGAAAATATCTTCGGGCTTCACAGCTTCAGGGTTGGGGTTTATCAGGACCAAGCTAAACCCTAAACCGTCAACCCTTGTGCTAAACTAAGTTCTGAACTTTAAGTTATGTTTTTTTACCAAAGCACTGAACACAAGATGCCAGGAGCTCGCGAAGAAGACCTTTCCCAACATGGCGATGCTCAGGCGCAAGGGGGTCACCCATCAGCGAGCAGCTTTACTAACATAAAGGTTTGTGGGTTCGGTTTAAGATACTTGGAGGATCAGGGGACTTAGTACGTAAGGTTATAGGTACAATAGTTGGAGTTATTATTACAGAGTTATAAGTATCAGTACCTTCTTTTATAAACCCCTCTTACTAAGTCCCATGATCCTCCGAGTAAGCGCTCTGAATAGCGCCTGTAGGGTTCTTGTGACCAGGGCATACCTTGTTGTAGCCGTTCTATGATCAAGGGGATGCTGGAGAACTTAGCAGTGGAGCAGGGAAGTAGGTCAGAGACCTACCCATGTCTAGGTTATGGTACCTAGAGGCTTACGGGCGGCCTAGTTGCTACATCCCTCGATCCTCTAAGTTGACGTGCTTTGCAATCAGTGCTTTGCTTTGGGTCGGATCTCTGCGGAGTGCCTAACAACCCTACACCCTGAACGATTAAGGGAGGCATCCGGATGCTAGAGTTTAGGATTTAGGGACCGAAATCCCTAAACCTTAAACCCTAAATCTTGAGCCTGAAGTTCAAGTCAGCTCAAGGCAGGGCTAGCAATGGTTTCGATCCAACTTGTTAAAGCCTCGCGGTTGCCAGAGTTGCGAGAGTGGCCTGGTTAGCATTAGAATATGACCCGGAGTAGGCCCTTATTCCCTTTTTTAGGGTTTAGGTTGCCATATAACACCCTTTGAACCAAAAAGGGCACCCTTCTTATTCCTAGGTTACTCTTAGGTCTAGTAGCAGCAGCACTGTGATGACCAGTATTCAGAGCTTCCATCTTAGCTCGTCTTAACATGAACCCTAAACCCTGAACCCTAAACCCTAAACTCTACCTGAGTATGTGTTTTCTTATCTACTGCGCCATTCGTTATCATGATTCTGCCCCAAATGAAATACCCGCCGGCAGTCCCCCCACCCTCCGCAAAGGGGTAACCTTACTCCTTAGAATAGGGTTTTGGGGGGTTCAGCATAACATACCCCCAAACCCTATTCTAGGTATCAAGGCCCCCGCATTACCTGCAACTCAAGGCCCAGACTAGACCCTGAACCCTCGGACCCAAATCCTAGTTGGAGGAATCATGGGTCAGTAAGTAAGGCCATAAACAAGGCAGCTATACTTGGAGTTGCTTATAACCTTACTTACCAAGTCCCAATGATCCTTTCCAAGTAGGCGCCCAAGCATAAAGCCTTGCCAGGCACCTCGCTGCCACCAAGGGCATCTCTTCTTGGTTCACCGGTGTCTCAACAGCATTGGTTGGGATACAATAGCCCAAAAAAGTGCTACAATACTTTTCCCAAGGGCTCCTTGTCCTTCTCCTTACCCTAGAGTTAAACTATGCAGAAGCCCAACTAAATACCAATATTCCTTAGGGCTCCTTATGATAGTCATACTCTATTCTGGGGTCTTGTGGGGCCATAAGCCTCCAAGCTTTATTCTACTATATCAACTATCAACCCTAAACCCTCGATCCTAAATCCTAAACCATAAGCCTTTAGACCCTAAACCCGAATAAACCCTAAACCGTTGCGCCGTCAGCCCCAAGACCTCTTCAAGGGGTACTGAGATAAGAAGCCCCGACTAGGTATCTCTTAGGGCTGCAGCCGAGTACCTACCTTAAACTACCATCACAGACTTTTTGCAGTTTCATATCATAAACCCTCATATGGACTTCGAAGAGACCCTGCAAAAGATCTAGGGATTTTTCATAGGTTTAGGTCTAGGTATTATACCATGCCAGGAATGCATACGCCCCAGACCCTTGCACCGAACCCCAAACCCCAAACCTTATTCTACGCAGGCCTAGATGCCGCGATCCTCAAGACGGCCCCGAAGTACATGGTCGCGGGGGCCTCAGAAGTTCGAAGGACGCTGAGATTTTCTGAGGGTTTGAGGTTTAGGGTTTAGGCTTTAGGGGTTCAGGGTTCAGGGATTGAGGTTTGGGGTTTAAGTTTTAGGGGTTTGGGGGTTAGGGATTCAGCGTTGCAGATTTAGGGATAACAGGTTAACTAGAATACGGTTTTGGGAATCATTAACATACTGTAGGGACTGAAAGGGGATATTGTTACTGTTTCTGTTTAGGTTTAGTTAGTAGGTGTAGGTTTTCCACTTACGGTCCGCTAAACCACGGTGGCTCCAATCACATGGTTTCAAGTTTTGGTGTTGCAACTCAAGCTCAACACCAAGCTGGTTTCTATCACATCGCGTGCGTTCTGCACAGGCCGTCATCATCAAGGACTACATGGGGCAGTGGTTGGCACCCGTGGATTCTAAGGACAAGACGGCCGCAGCCTCAGCTGTCAAACCTGCACCATATGTGGGGCCTGGGCCTCTTTATCGTAGGATCCTTAGGAGCAGGTTTCGACTATGCACGATCCATATCGGCTCCACCTTGTTTTCGCAGTCTCCCATCTTCCTTTCAACCGCAAGGAGAGTTGGCAACAGTTCCGAAAAGCATGATGACATGCCGCTTGAACTACGGGTTTCGGTGTTGGGATGGCATCAAAGAAGCCTGAACCCTAGTGTGAAAGTGAAGTTAGATTCCACGGTCAGAGGTGTCAGTGCGAGACCGACTTGAACATTCAGGCACAAGAGTTTTTGCTTCTGTCCGGAAAAGGTCCGCGACTTCGTTTGTGACGGGCTGCCAGTGTCAGCTTGTCACTTCAAGTTGACACTGGTAGCGGAGCCCGGTTTAGCTAGCTGCGCACTCCATGGTTGGCACCGATGCGGAGCCGAATGCTGGCGAGGCCGCCACTCAGCAGAACGAAGATGACAGCAATGTTTTGACCGAAGTCCCGTGGACGCGGGGTGACCGTGACGGATGGTGGGGCCGCGACTGGTGGGGAGACCGTCGTGGTTCAGACGCAACTACGAATGATAGTTTTGGGTTTGGGCGCTGGGCTACACCTGAGCGCCAGGAGTCAAGCGATTCGTCTACGCAGAGCGATGCCTCGTGGGAACGAAGCTGGTGGGGAAACCACGGCTGGTGGGGCACCTACGACGGGCGGTGGAGCGACAGACGAGAGTGGGGACAATGGTGGCCGGAGACCATCCACGAGGAAGGCTACTACGGCAATGGTCCACGGCACAGCGATCATGGACAAGCTGACGGAGCTGGCGGGAGCACGACCTACTCGCACCCCACGACTACCCGATCAGGCTGGAGCTCTACCTGGAGTTCGGCCGGCGACGGAAAAGGGCCATCAGAGAAACTCATGATCCCGAGCTTCTCCGGAGAAGGCGACGGCAGCGAACTTGGCAGTTCGGCCAGGTCGTACTTACGACAGGTGACAGCCTGGGAGAAGATGACCAAGTTGTCAAAGGGACAGCGGGCACTGGTGTTGTACCAGAACCTGCAGGGAGCTGCCTGGATCAATGCCGAGTCTCTCGATGTCAACAAGCTCGGCAGCGACAGTGGCGTCGAGTACCTGCGTGATTGGATCCGACAACACTACCTGGACGTCGAAGTGACACTGGTGGGTCGCTCCTTGAGCGATTTGTTCCGCCGATTGAAGCGCCGCTCGGGACAGACACTACGGGACTACGCTGCAGAGTTCAACAGGCTACTTTCACGTGTCCGTGAGTGCGGTTGCGAGCTCCCGGACGTGGCGACGGCATGGCTCTTCGTGGACAGGGCCGACTTGGACGAGGCTACAGAGGTGAGCTTGTTGGCTTCGGTTGGGAACAAGTACGCCTTGCTCCCATTGCAACAGGCGGCGATCATCCTCGACAGGTCCATGCGGAAGCCCTGGGAGCGCGGACCAGGCGGAAAGAGGCCACACACGGCCCACATGACAGAGGATGCGAACGAGGGAGAAGAGCCCGAGCAGGAGAACCTCGACGAGGACGAGATCGACGAGGAAGTCTACGTTGCCTACCTCACGGCGAAGGCGCGCGGTCGCGAACACTTTCGCAGCCGCGGCGCAGACACTGAGCTTGCCAAGAAGACGATGGAGGAGAAGATCCGACAGGCGAAGGCCAAAAGCCATTGCGCCGCCTGCGGCCAACGTGGACATTGGCACAAGGACAGTATCTGCCCAAAGAATAAGAAGGAGAACGGCAGCACGAGGCCGACTGAGGCGACCCGACCGAACACCATCCACGTGACGAGCGAGATCTTCGAGTTGGCGACCGACCCCAAGCGCGAGCTCATGGCCATCACGGATACCGCATGCTCCAAGTCTGTCATGGGAGCGCAATGGCTGCAAGTGTATCTGGACATGACGGCCGGCAAGGGCATCGACCTGGACTTCATCTATGAGACGGAGTCCTTCCGCTTCGGGGCAAGCCGCGTGTATGAATCGCACTACGCTGCGGTGGTACTGTTACCTCTCGGCAACGGATGGGTCGCCCTGAAGGCGGCGGTGGTGCAGGGCGAAGTGCCACTGCTCATTTCGCGACCCGCACTTGCAAGCTTGGGCATGGTGATGGACGTAGCAGACAACACTGCCGACTTCAAGGCGGTCGGCGTAAAGCAGCTGAAGCTTGAGAATACGGCTTCGGGACATCCCGCCCTACCTGTTTGCCATAAGAACCGCTCTTTGCCCGATGTGAGTTCCCTGCCAAAGGCGTGGGGCTCCGACGAAGTCAAGATCCTGAGCGACGGTGCCGCATACATGAGCTTTGTTGTGGGGCACGGGATGGGTTTCACTAACGACATCAAACCACATGTAGTCGGAGGACCCGAAGAAGTACCCAACTACCCTCGCGTATTCTACGACAAGAAGCTAGAGCCCGAGATAAGGAACATGTTGGTTGCCGACAGTCTCCCTCTTCATTCGTTTCTTCAATGGTGGACTAGGACAGCCATTCAATCAGACTTCTGGATTGAAACTGAGACAAGTCTTGTCCGAGTACATGTTGTGCCACGCAAGACCTTCTTCGACCCCTCAAGATGGCAGACTAAGCAGACTCTTCAACGTCAACAACTACATGCAAGCCTCGGGAGCATCAGAGAGACATGGGGAGTGTCATGTTGTTCACACCGCATGCTGAATACCATTGCAGAACGTTGGAGGGACGCACCTCAGGGCGCCTATGCAGTCTTGTGGATCGGCCGCAGTGTGTTCAATCGAGCCTCGCCCCAGAAGCTTCACTACACCCCGGGTGATGTCGCAACCGGCGAAGGCAGTATGGCAGATGAAGAAGGTCGAGCTCCAGGCCGAGATGTTCCGCCGCGGGTTGACGTGCAACCCCTCCTGGACGGCCGTGGAGCTTCGGACAATCTTGACCGAGGACTCAGCCAAGAAGGGGACCCACAGCGGACAGACGGGGACGCCGAAGGGGATGACGTCCATGAGTCTGGCCGAGCTTCGGAACGAAGCCGAGCGGCTGGGAATCGAGCTGGGGGCCAAGGACACCCGGGGCATGATCATGCTGAAGATCCGGGACACGACGGCGCCGGAGAACACGATCATGACTTTGGGCCGGTTCAAGGGCACGGCTTACAAGGACGTACCGGAGAACTACGCGAACTGGGCCTCCAGGGAAGCCGATGTCAATGCCGACAACATGCATCCAGATCTACGACGGTTCGTGACATGGTGGCGAGATTCGAAGGTCAAGGAGGAAAAGGAGGAGACGGTGAAGTACGACCCCGAGGCGAACACGAAGATCCCGCCGCCCCCGATCTCCGAGACCGGAAGCTCGACGGCGTGGTCGATGGTCACGCCCTCCCGAGGGTACTCGTCGACACCAGTGCTACCCGGCGCCCTGGCGAAGTCGAAAGCAAAGGGTTCCCGTCGTCGAGCCGACGAAGCGGGACCATCCCGAATGGAGCAGGACATCCCCGACGATATCATCGACGAGATCGCCGCGCTCGAGACGAGACTGGCGGTGCTGCGGGACGCCCACGGCGCCGAGAAGTGAGGTTCGAGGAGACCAGCGGCGATTCGGACGGCGTCGCTGGTGATGATGAGTCCGACGAGGTCGGCGGCTACGAGGACTCCGCCGATTACCCGATCAACGACATCCCGGAGGAGATCCGAATCGAGAACAACGACAAGGACCACGGCGCCATCGAGAGCACGATTCAGAGCGACGGAGACTACTCGACCGGCGAGGTCCCGAAGGAGGTTCAGATCGAGAACAGCGACAAGGACCACGGCACCATTGAGGGCACGATTCAGAGCGACGGAGACTACCTGACCGGCGAGGTTCCAAAGGAGGTCCAGATCAAGGACAGCGACAAGGACCACGGCACCATCGAGGGCACGATTCAGAGCGACGGAGACTACCCGACCGGCGAGGTTCCAAAGGAGGTCCAGATCAAGGACAGCGACAAGGACCACGGCACCATCGAGGGCACGATTCAGAGCGACGAGTACTACCCGATCGACAGCGTCCAGAAGGTGGCACACAGTCGGGACGATGGGAGCTTCGTTAGCTTTATGACCACTTGGACTCATGGCCAGGAGTCCGGTGACTACGCGGTTCCTACCACTACGTTGGCTACGGATGGGGACCACACTATAAGAGGTATGGAGGCCTCCGACGACACGCACCACGAGCACTACGAGTCCTGCAACTCCGAGATCCCGATCGAGGAAGACGCAGGAGCCAGGGATGATGAGCTAGCGAACACACACCTGATGGACAACTACTTGACCGGGAACAACAGCAGCAAGAACCTCGGCGAGTTACTGGCCAAGGCCGCTATGGATGAGGGCGACTACAGCGATGCAACCCTTCAGAAGATCCTAGGCAAGAGTGAGCTACGAGATACCTATGAGCGACGTCAACGACTTCACGGCAATGGACCTGTGGAGAGGTACGTGTTCGGATACTACAGCCATGGCCCCTACCACGGCGTGTGCAAAAGGACCTTGGAACACCCGAACCTCGTCAAGTACATCAACAACTTCATCCACGACCGCTGGGGCGCGATCTCCGATCGCGGACCGACGTGGTCTTCTTTCGGCATCCTTCACAACGCCAAGTGCGAGATCCATGCGGACCGGAACAACCTCGCCGGCAGCCACAACTTCTGCTACGGGTTCGGCAACTACGTCGGAGGTGGCTTGTGGATCGCGGAACCACAAGGAGGACAATGGAGGAGGTTACCGAATGGCGAAGAGGTCGAGGGTCAGATACATGACATCAAGCGGAACGGCGCCGAGTTTGACCCCCGACGACAACACGGACCCGAAGTGTGGAAGGGAGATAGATGGACTATCTCCGCGTACACGACGCGAAGCATCGGGGGTCGGTCCGAGAAGGAGGCCCGGATCCTCGGGCAACTTGGTTTCAACCTTCCCCGTCGGAGCAAGGCCAAGCAGACCACGCCCGCCAGAGCAGGTCGCCTCCCGAAGAAGAGCCAACGTCGGTCGATGTGGAAGCAGGCTGGGTCTTTGAGCGCCCTTTTCACCGTCCTGGCGACGGCGCTCAGTGGAGGGATCAACCCTGACCCAGCGCCGGCACAACGTTCAACGGTGAGCCTACTTGAGATTGGCGGTGTAGATGTCACCTGTGAAATGGCCGACTACCAGAACGATAACTTCACGGCAGCTGAGCCTATACTGTGGCACGACATTGGCGTGGTGGACAGCTACGGGCGGAGTCCGAGTGATTTACGCGAGGCCGGGGAATATCTTGCTCAACTACAACCCCGGGAGCTCTGGATACACCAGAATGCCGATGGCGAGACCGAGAAGCAGCAAGTCGTCAACCTCTACATCCGCGCACAGCTGGCCCGCGGTGGCTGCGTCATGATCGAGGGCCACGAACCGGAACTGATCGGTGATGGTTGCGTGAGAGAGCTCCAAGCAAGGACCGACGAGTACGAGATAGACGTCATCGACGACCTCAGGCCAAGACCAGTTCTGTATATACGCCCAAGGACCACCGGACCTGAGGAAGCCTACGTTGCAGAAGCCGGCGAACCGGACATGATTCCGGGTGCACGAGGCATACGCTTCGGCAAGGACGTCCCCAACCGTGTCGCCGAGGCCCTTCGCCGACTACACCAGAACCTGGGACATCCAAGTGTCAGCGACCTAGTTCGACATTTACGGCTGGCTGGGGCCAACAAGGAGATCCTGAAGGCCGCCCGCACCCTCGAGTGCGACACTTGCCGGCGAACGAAACAACCGGATATACCGAGGCCTGCTACAACCTCGAATGTCCTGCAGTTCAATCAAGTGGTCGGGATCGACCTCATCTACGTCCACGACAGCGAGGGCAAGAAGCACGAACTACTTTCGATGGTGGACTACTCTTCGTCATACCATATCGTTGTGCCAGTTCCCAAGAAGGACACCCTTGCCCTGGAGAATGCCTACTGCGAGGGATGGTTGAACCATTACGGACCACCTGGGACGGTGACAATAGACCTCGAGAACGGCCTGCAAAAGGGATTGACGAGAGCATGTGACTGGACCGGGACAGCGGTCAAGAGCTGTGCCGGACAAGCGCATTGGCAAGCAGGCTTCACCGAAAGGCAAGGGGGCGCTTGGAAAAGTATTTTCAATCGGGTGTGCGAAGAGCACTCGGTTACTACTGCCGAGATGAAGCTCGCCATAGCCGCCACTTCCCAGGCCAAGAACAGCCTTAAGAAGGTTGGCGGATACACGCCCTCGCAGCATGTGTTCGGAACCCTGCCAATGATCCCTGAAGATCTACTCGATGGACCACACGCCCAACGACCAGGCGAGGACGTCATCTACGACGACAAGCACGCGAGGGAGGTCGCCATACGGACCGCAGCGAGATCGGCATTCCACCAGGTCCAAACAGATGAGCGCGTCAGGCGAGCGCTGACGGGACGTTCTCGGGTGACCAAGGCCAAACCCCTGATCGGCGACCATGTCTTCTTTTGGAGAAAGCTCAAGAACGGAAAGCGCGGCCTCTGGAAGGGGCCAGCCACGGTCATCGGCTATGAGGGTCAAAACATATGGCTCACCAAGGGGGGCCGATGCTTCCTATGTGCGCCAGAACATGTGCGGTCCGCCACCGGGGAGGAGCTCGGGACAATCTTCACATTGCGGGCCGCGCGGGACGACCTGGACAAACTCTTAGAAGCGGACCAGGACGACGAGGAGGTCTACGACGATATGGACGTGGAGCCAGGCGACGGAGATGTGGAAGGCGAGCTACCTGGACCAGACCCGGTTCTCTATGACGGCCACGATGGGGATGAGATAGGGACGGACATTGAGCTCGTCCTCGACGAAGAGGAGGAGGACAAGCGTGGACAACGCCGCGATGGAAGATGGCCAATTCCAAGGGTGAACAAACGTCACCGCAGAAAGGGGCCACCCGACGAGACCCACGATGTCAACATGTTAAAGCGAGCAACCACGCAGAGGTCCCGCGAAAAGCAGATGGAGAAGGAGATCAGCTGGAAGGACATCCCCGAGGACATGCGGAGCGCCTTCCACGACGCCGAGGCCAAGCAGTGGCAAGAACACATGGACCATAAGGCGTTAGAGATCCTGTCCCTTCAAGAAAGTGAAGATACGCGGCAACGTGTGCCGAAGGACCGGATATTACCCTCGAGATACGCCTACCGGGACAAGAACATGGGGAAGAGGAGAGCCAATCCAGAGGTGCCATGGCGACCAAAGGCGAGATTAGTCATTGGCGGCCACCTGGATCCCGACCTCGGGTGTGGCCGACTGAGTGTTGATTCACCTACGGTGGCGAGATCGTCTCTGATGCTACTCCTCCAGATCTGCATTTCGAGGTTCTGGCTTGCGGCAGCGGGAGACATCCAGGCCGCGTTCTTGAACGGCCTCCAGGTGGCCCGCGAGATCTACATGGAACAACCCCGGGGAGGAGTTCCAGGACTTCATCCTCGGCAACTACTACGCGTAAGAAAGGGAATCTTTGGTCTGTCGGAGAGCCCGAAGATGTGGTTCGAGCGACTACGCGAAGTCCTGACGGAAGAGGTCTTCCAAATCAACGGGGAGCCCCACCGCCTACGTCAGAGCCCCATGGACGTATGCGTATTCATGCTACAGAGGGAGGAGGGAGACCAAACGCCCCTGGCCTATATCGCAATACATGTAGATGACATGTTGATTGTCGCAAGCGAGGAAGTGAACAGACAGCTACAGCGGGCAATCAGCGGACTCTTTCCGGTGGACACATGGGAAGAGAATGAGTTCGACTACGTGGGGTCGCACATCAAGGTGGAGCCCGACAAGATCGTGATACACCAGGAGAACTTCGTCGAGGGAAGACTCTTTCGGGTCGACGTTAAGCCAGGACAACAAGACGACGAGCCCGCAGATGAGGAGCAACTAGTGGACAACAGATCCCTGGTGGGCGCTCTATCCTGGCTGGCGGGACAAACACGTCCAGACCTGCAATGCGGGGTTGCCCTCGCCCAGCAGGTGCAACGTACCGCCACGGTGGGCGACATCAAGTTCTCCAACAGCCTCGTCAAGAAGGCCGAAGCCGACAAGGACAAGGGGGTGATCTTGAGACCGATTGACCTCGACCAGGCCATGTTTATCACATACCACGACGCTGGGTGGGCCAACGCGTACCTCGAGGAGGCAGAGGAAGGGTTCCAGCTGACGCCGGAGGAGATTGAATGCGGGAACATGAAAGAGGGTCCTTTCGCCGACAAGGAAAGGAAGGCGAGACGAACCCGCTCCAAAGTGGCCTCCCAAATCGGCCATGTGATCATCCTTGCCGACCGCCGACAAGGACATGGACTCATTGAGCCCAGCCTCCTAGAGTGGAGGAGTCAGGCATGCCAGAGAGTATGCCGAAGTACGTTCGGCGCAGAGACAATGGCATGTGTGGAAGGCCTCGAGAACATGCAATACATCAGGTCCGCGCTCCTGACTTTCCTCACGGGTAGCCTCGCGACCGTCATTGAGGCAAGCCGCAAGTGGCCCTTGCTCTGTCTGAGTGATTGCAAGAGCCTTCACGACCATATCCACCGAACCGGCATGCCAAGGATACCTGCCGATCGTAGACTAGCCATAGACCTCACAGCACTTCGTCAAGGGCTGACCGCTGAGCGGAAGCACGCCCAACTACCCTTACAGTGGGTGCCGACGACGGCACAAGTAGCAGACCCTTTGACCAAGCCCATGAAGGCAGAGGGCTGGTGGAGTTACTTCACTCGCGGTATTGAACTTCCTTTGCATGTTGATACCCTTACGAAGATTTTCGGAGAGTGTAAGACGAGTGTGAAAGTGAAGTTAGATTCCACGGTCAGAGGTGTCAGTGCGAGACCGACTTGAACATTCAGGCACAAGAGTTTTTGCTTCTGTCCGGAAAAGGTCCGCGACTTCGTTTGTGACGGGCTGCCAGTGTCAGCTTGTCACTTCAAGTTGACACCTAGACCCTAGACCCCAGACCACAAGCCCCAAACACTAACCCCTAAACCCCAAACACCCGTAGGGGTCGGAGAGCCTCAGACAGACATGTGCTTCGAAGGCCACACTGCTCAAGTCGGCGAAGGTGTCCGTGACTGCAGGCGGCCCTTGCTATAACCCTCAATGGATCCCCTTAAACGGAATTCTGGGGAACCCTTTAAGTGGGCCCTGGCTATCATAGTCATCGGAGCGAGATGTCGGATAGCAGAGATCTTGGCGGGACAAACCTAGCAGGGTAGCCGTCTATCCCATTGCTCTTGCAGGCATTGCCGGCGCGGTTTTGACGAACCCTCTCGACGTTGTTCGCAACGCCGCTCGCACGCAGAGCTTCACCCCTACATCCCGAAATGTGAAGTCCCTAAACCTGTAAACCCTGAAGGCCCTCAAGGGCCTAAGTTTCCACCAAACCCTCAACACCAAGTCCCAAATCCCAGGCCCTAAACCCTAGACTCGGAAAGGCCCGAGGGTACCCTATGACCACACGCTTCAAACCCCGAGCCCTGCGGCCCCAACACTAAACTTTGAACCTTAAGCCCTAACCCTGAACCCTACTTGCCCCCAAACCCTAAACTTCAACCGAGCTCTTTGTGCTTAAGGCCTCGGTGTCTTCTGCCCTAAACACCCAAAACACTTGTAAAGCTCTTAGGCCCTTCCCACTTAGAACACAACAGTAGCAACACTAAAACCCGAGTCCCACAGCATAAGCCCCACACGGTAAAACACTACAAACGACGGGCTTGGGGTTATCAGGGTTTGGGGTTTAGGGTTTGTCGTCTAGGCTTTGGTTGGGGTTCTGGGTGTTTTCTGGCTACGGGGCGAGGGGTAAGCCCCGTGACTGAATCTGGGGTTGCTAGACGGTGCTTGGGTCGTTTCTAGGGCTTAGCGGGCCGGAAAGGTTTTCTAAAAGAGTACTATAAATAAAGGGATGCCGAGGTTCAGGTGGTATGGTTGCTTGTTGCTTACCGGGTGCCACTTCTCTCATCAAGTCAGATGATATGAAGGCCCTGGCAACGGTCTTGGCTGCAATCCTCTATGGTCATGGCCAAGATGACCTGTTGTTGTTACTGTAACCTGTTCTGCGTTGAGGATCCTAACAGGTAAGTCCAAAAAGGGGCTGACATGGAGACTGGTGTCGTCTTGACTCCCGCATGTTCCTCTGTGTGTGGTGGCCTTGATTGCAGGAAGCTGAACACTTGCCCACGTTGCTTGCGAATTGCACGGGGGAGCTTAGAGGTGCGATTTCACCTGCCTTATGCAGACTGACCTGATGAACGCGACCGCCGTGGTCACAATCGGCTGCCCTGCACCCACAAGCTCCGTCTAAGCCAGGATGCATGTTCCGTGACCTCGGCCTTCATGAGGGACTTCAGTAATTCACAGGAGCTCAAGTGACAGCGCGCCGATTTAGCAGCTTCCCTTTGTGGATGGCCGATCTCAATTGTTCCACAGTGCAGGGTCCGTTCTCCGCTCTCTCCTTATCCCAAATCACTTTCTGATTAGTCTTTGGTCATTGTAGGCAGCTCTCGAAAGTGACGCGCCGTCCGCTGGGGGTGGGCGTTGGCCTCTTCAGTCAGGTGCACTGCACACTCCGCCTCTCCATTGTCCTGCAGGTCTTTGAAGTCTCTTCCGTCCAGCTTGACTACTACAGGGGCCTAAATAATCACCTATACTACTGTGGGGGCTCCTTATTATCATTATAATATAATACACACCAAAACCCTATTCTTCTAGTAGCCCTTATAGTAACTCATAAAGACCCTTTGTAAGAGCCCTTCAAGGGAACCCTATTCTACTTATTAAGGCCCCTACATTAGCCCCCACGCCTTGGTTCATCGTCTGTTTGTGGCGAGCGTGTCTCTTGACGGTTTAGGGTTTAGGGTTTAGGGTTTAGGGTTTAAGGTTTAGGGTTTAGGGTTTAAGGTTTAGGGTTTAGGGTTTAAGGTTTAGGGTTTAGGGTTTAAGGTTTAGGGTTTAGGGTTTAAGGTTTAGGGTTTAGGGTTTAAGGTTTAGGGTTTAGGCGTAAAGCTGGCCGGTTTAGACTTGGTTGGTTGCTGTCCTACTGGATGTGACTCTCGCTGATTTCCCTAAACCCTACACCCTATACCCCCCCCTAACTCTCGCTATCGATACTTGCCCGGCTTTGGATTGTTGTTGTTTTTTCTTTTTTTGTTTTCCTGTTTTGGGGTCCTAGCTTCCTTGTAAAAGTCCCTCATACCCAAAGGGGCCAATATGTTGTAGTATGGTACAGTATGGTATAGAATGGTCTGAAGAGACTTTCTTCTGCCTCCAGGGCTGGAGCTGTTGCTTTGCTTGGTGGCGGCGGGATGTTAGTCGGCTCCGTCCCGAAATGGGGTTAGGGTTAGGCGCATGCTATTGATGCGAGTCAGCAGTTTCTTAGCGACATTGGCGCGAGACATTATTTTTCTTACCTTTGGTTAGTAGGGAATGGAAGAATGGTAGTAATAGTAGTTATAATTCTACCCCATTCCTCGATTCCCTACTAACCAAAGGTAAGTTTTGCAACTGGACTACTCCATGTTGTCCGGTTTCAATTCCTTCTTGCGAATCCCAGTTCTTCAGTATCCTAAACGCGTAGCCTAAACCCCAAACCCTAAGCATCCCTAAACCCCAAACATCCCTCAACCCTAAACCTTCTTATGAATGCCCTCTTGACCTCACATCGCTCTGAGGAGATGTTCAAGACCGAAGATGCTTGGATGCGATGAAGTTCCTTTAAGGCTTTTGGGGTGTCTTTAAGGTTTCTAAGGGGCTTTTTGAAGTTCCTTTAAGGGTTTAAGCGTTTCTTTCAGGGTTCGAAAGGGTTCTATTTAGTAAGGGCTTCGGATCGGATTTGCCTTCAGATGGGAGTTTCGAGAAAACAGCGGACCCTAGTGCAGAGCTCATTCGGACTCAAGGAGGTTTAGGGCATTTCGGGTTTCGGATTTGCATTGATCTGAATTCCCAAACCTCAGATCCTAAATCCCTAAAGGACCCTAAACTTGAAACCCTTAAAACTTAAAACTCCAGACTCAAGGCCCATGAAGCTGCCTCAAGCCCCAACGTCTGCACCCGATGCTGGGCCTTTTTCGGCATCGCGCCGCCTCAGCCCGGCTCCACAAACCCCGGAAGCCTGTGGAACTAGACTACTTGAAGGATCATGGGACTCAGTAATTGGGGTCCTTAAGGGGTCCGTTTAAGGGATCTATACAGGGGTACTATAAGGGTTTAGGGTGTAGGGTCTACTTAAAGGATCATGGGACTTAGTAAGTGGGGTTACAAGTAAGGTAACTATACTTACAACTACTTATACCCCAATTAAGGTACTTATAACCTTGCTTACTAAGTCCCATGATCCTCCAAGTAGGTTGTGCCTTCTGCGACAGGCCGACCAGACCCTTACATGTAGTTCTTCTTGAAGTTACCGTTACGTCTGGACCTATCGGAACAAGGCTACTGTAATCAATAGCTGAGCAGGTTTAAGGTTGGGTTCACCACCCTACCGTTCCTTGTTTTGGAAGTACTGCGGCCTAAAAAATCGTGACAATCTTCCTTCGTGACTAGCTGTGACAGACTGGGGATGTACCTCAGTTGTACCAGTAATTGTTGGGCTTGCTTGAAGGATCATGGGCACTCAGTAAGAAGGTTAAGGGCTTTCCTGGTAAAGCTGTAAAGCCCTGTTTGAATCGCCATAAAACTTTTCTTTTCAGACTTTCATCGAAGAACAGGATGCTGGGACCTCATCTTACCATCAACATAAGCACCACTGTTCCAGCGCAGCTAGATCTCCACCATGATCACCTTCGTCTCCACTATCACCAGCATCAGCAGTGTTATCATCACCATCACCACTTTCGGCATCGTAAGCAGCAATATTCTTCTCGTTTTGGCTCAGCCGTGCGTGCTACAAAGTGAGTGCAGCCCATGGTCTGAAATGGGAGTTTCCGAAAATTAGGGGTACCTTAATTTGGGGTCCTCATAAAAAGGATCCTAAATTTTAGGGTACTATATGAGGGTGGAAACTCTCAAATTGTATGCTAAACCGAAACCCTCAACTGCGCAAGCCTGCACCGCATATCTCAAGCTACTCGAAGGATCATGGGACCTTACTTATAAGCCCACTTACTAAGTCCCATGATCCTTCAAGTACACCCTACACCCTCAAAAACCCTGAACACCAAAACACAAAAACCCTCAGCCCTAAACCCTAAAGCCAGAACAATCCTGCACCCTACGCCCTAAAGCCTATGAGCCCCTCACAAAACACCGAATCCGACACGAAGCAGTGGCAAATTTTAAGTACTGCCCTATTAATCCAATCCCCTAAACCCTAAATCCTAAACCCTGAACACCCTAAACCCTAAATCCTAAACCCTAAACCCCAGAAATCCGATACTTCGGAAGTCTTCCAAGGAAGGCATGGTCAACTGCATGATGCGCATGAGCAAGGAGGCGCTGGGTGGGGAACCTTATAAGCCTTACACCTCCTAAACCCTTAACCCTTAACCCTGAAGAACCTTCCTTTTTAGGGCTCCTTATTATCGTTTCTTTATATAAGTCCTTACAAACCTTGGTTCTTCGGGGTTAAGGTAAACCCTAAACCCTAAACCCTTAGAGCTGAACCAAACTAAAGCCGTGTGAAGTGGCTTTCTCGAGTTGACTCCTCCTGTCAGAGACATCCAATACCCCCTGCATAAGGAAGATCCCATGTCACATTTTGAAGTATGTTCTATTGGTTTATCCAAGTGCATTGGGCTCTTTGGGGTGCTAATCTCACGAGTACATAATCCTCAACTGGACGATTTTTGGTGAGAGTTTCAGGTTTTTTGGGTGCAGGGTGTAGGGTTTGAGGATGTAGAGTTAAGGGT